GTGGCAGTAATTGGTTCCAGTGCTCGGATGCGTCGATCCTTTTAATTAAGCAAGGACGACCCTTTTTTTCCCCTTCAATTGACTTGCTACGAACGATCGGCTGAATCGTATTGGGAAGGGGGGGGGGATTTAATTGTCAACAGTGCTGATTACCGCATTTAAGAGGAGAGACTCGCTCGTTGACGGTTTTTGTCCAATCCGCTAGTTTTTGCTTTTCGCTCTTGACCTTTTATTGTCCCTTCTGTGATCAGTGATTCAATGGGATGCGAATCGTGCGTCCGACCGCAGGCTGACCCTTACTACTGAAACCGACCTGAATCGGCACTTGCAAAGCACTGACGACTGCGAAAACGGCGCACAAAACAAGCACAACCGGTTTATTCGCCTTATCTATACCTCTCTCATTTGGTGAGCTATCAAAAAAAAAAAAAAAAAACGAAAAATTGCGTCCCGTAAAGGTAAAACACGCCGTGTCGGTACCGCACGCTCGGAGGCTAGCTGCCGACTGAAGCCGTCTCTGCACGCCCGACAAGGGTGGCGCCGCGCCGAACTCCCAAGCTGGAGCGGGGGAGGATACGTCGGCCCTCCCTCTCTCCCTTTACTTTTTTCTTTCGCGCCGTCTCTTCCTCTTCGTTGTTCCTCGAGTAGGAAGTTTTGAGAAGCACCGAGACACTGCGGCGTCGGGGACGAGAAATAACGGGACGCGTCTCGTAAATCTGTCCCCGCTCTGGACTGTGATCTACGGCGCGACGAGCGCTCGACTTTCACGGTGCACGGTATCACTTTTTGGTCAACAGCTGCCGCTCTTGTAGGACACGTGTGTGGTCGCATTGTGTATACAGTGGACGATGGTTTTGAATTTTACCTGGACATTCATGATTGTCCTGTAAATACATACAGCATCCTTCGTAGGAAAATTCTCGCTTTCCCCCGTTCAAGTTTGGTTCTTGCGCGTGTATTTTAATTTCGCGCGAACGAGGCCAAGTACTGCTGTACTTAAAATGTCCCCGAGTGCCCTTGGCGCGTTTAAACATAAGCGCGAGCTTTGAAGTGCCTTTTACCACTGGCTCTTTTGTTTAACCAGCGTGTCAAAACAGAGTGCACGTTTTCATACTTTTGTCAAAAGTGGATGGAAACACGTCATTAAAGCATTACGCGCACATATCGATCGGTATTACGTTTTAATAATTTTGCTATAAAGCCGTTTTCTTTCTTGGTCGTTTTTTCAATGGCCCTTCAACGATATCGCTCGCTTTTCACTGTACTGAGCCGTCAAAGGAGAGCTTGCGGAATTTTTATTTATTTTTTCCCTCGACACTAACTCGATTGGAGGTGCAGCTGTGAGTGGAAAAAACAAAAAGTTTTGCCCCTGTGTACGCGCGGTGTTTCTCAAATTCGAGATATTCGCGGGAGTCGAGTTTTGAAAGTTCGAGTGGTGTTTTCCAAAGCCCTTCTCTCTTTGGCGGTGCAGTTCCATTGGAATTCGTTTATACAAGTGACTTTCGAGGAAGATATTTTTATTATTTCTTGGCTTTTTGTCGAGTTCATCGGATGACGTCAGTAGAGGAGGAAAACTTGGGAATCTTGCTTCTTAAATGAAAATCTGTAAATGACGTTTCAAGCAGTGGTTCGCGTGAAAAGAAAATTTATAAGGATTTTTCAAGTGATTCGACGCGGTGAAAATAATGAACGTCAAAGGATCCGCCAGACCGTGAGGCAGAGCACCTCGTTAACCCTTAACGCGCGAGCAAATTTTTTTTTTCCCCTCAAAAAAGCAATCAGCCCCTTTTACCAGGATTCTCCGTCCTCGGCTTCCGAAGCGTTTCGCGCGCCACAAAGGAAGAGCGCCGATTTTCCTGGAACTCGGAGACACCTGCATCAGCTATTTTTGTTGTGCGTGGAATGAGCGTGTCCAGAGGACAGGACTGAAATTTAAAAAAAAACCTAAAAGTTAGTTTGCAAAGCAGTGGGGGACGAGCTGCAAACTAACGCACGGCAAACTCTTGGACGGCTGGTGATGACGTATAGGGTTTTTTAATTATTGGAAAAATTACGGTTATTATCGGGAGGGTTTTTATAATGTCGGGAAATCGTCGGAGTGCCGGGAAATTAATGTCGGGGCTCTCATTATCACGAGTATCTATTCGTGATGACAGGATAAGAGAGAAATTACCTTTGCGCGGCGGAAATGGTACGTTTCAGTTCAAAATTACAAGTAGAATCAATTAAACTTTTTCTTTTCTTTTTTCATTACTACTCGTTATACAGTACATACATATAAAAAATTATAGTTTTGAACCACTTTAATTTCCAAACACGAAGAGACGCTATACGTATACGCTGGAGCTCTTGCATTCGAAGGAAGACGAAAAATGATGGTCTCTAACTATCGGTACGTCCGGTTATTTTTATTTCTATAAAACTATGGGCTCCAATGTGATCCACCCTCGGCCAAATGTTTCCTTCGATTTGTACATCTTTCCATTGAAAAAAGAAAGATCCTGATACTCCGAGTAACAATAAAAAAAACCGAAGTAAACAGAAAATGACAAAGAAGCCTCGGAAGATGTCCATTGGAGAATAGCCAACGGTACACGTACAATGGAATATCGACGAGGGGATGAAAACCAAACAAGCAAAACCCCAGAGGCGTAGAGCTCGAAGATGCGCGAAAAACCGAGCGGTTCCTTTATTTCAAATCGATGTGACGGACGCTCCTCGAGTTTCTCTCGCGTATGTACCCACGGGGATAAATCGAGCGACGCACGCTGCCATACGCGCGTAAAACGCGGGTGCGCGCAGCGAAAGAGCCTCCGAATCGATAGGCGACGCCGTCCCGCCGAGGTGTGTGCATGGGTATACGTAACGCGCGTGCAGTGTCCTCCGTTATCTCGGCACTGCCCGCGTCCAGACCGTAATCCGAGTTTAGCCCCCCGCCCCCTTGGCAATGCACATCGACCCTCTACTGTACAAAGCCCGTAGGTACTACTTTGTTTCTTATCTCCCCCCCACCCCCGGGCGCCTTAATCCCCATTGAGACGCATTACGATTCCCCCCTCGTCGACTCTCGGACGTAAACTTTTCAACTCTAACATCCTTTCATTGTCATATATACCGTCATCCTCGGCATCCGGCCTCAATCACTCGGTAGATAACACATTCTCTTCCAAAAAGATTCCCACTCATCCCAGATACACATTATGTAACAAAAGTGTGAGCCGCAAGCTCGCAAAGTGTAAGCGTGTACCAACGTATAGCGCGAAACAACCGAGCTTCAAAGGCGTGGTCCTCCACCCTCTCTCGCTCGCTCGATAACTGCCCTGTATGTCCTTCTTCCTTTCTCTCTCGTTCCATCGCGTGACGGGAGAGAGCTTGCGTCCCAATACGTAGCTATACGAGTGGCTCTCAAGGTGCGTGTATATCATTTTATTTTAATATGCAAGGCATGTGAATGATTTATGGGCATTTTCTTCTTTTTTTTTTTTTTTTTTTGGTCCTCCAGTATATGCAGCCGCAGTTGAGTGATAAGGGGACATGTACAGAGAGTTAGATACATGCGATAATTAATGCATGATAAGCCGAGCGAAGATTCAACGTTTTTCGCAAGCCTGAGGGATGTTGGATCCTTTGAAGGAGTACAGATTGAGCTTTGTCGCGTTGTATCGTGTGTGAAAGCATACAAGTTTTTTTTTTTTTTTTTCAACGTATAAAAACAAGAAGAATGCGTTGCCGAAACAAACAGAAATTAGGTTTTTGTGAAAAAGAGACAATTAGCAACCCATCACCTAATTGTTTCCTGGGTTTTTTCGTCATTTAACACATGGTGATATGTGTTGAAGAGAAAAGCACACCTTCATTAGCGTGATGGTCCGTTTAGCTGTCGTCTTTCACACACGCGCCAACGGATCCCTATGACATAATTAATGAAGTTTGATCTACTCGGGGAGATATACCGATCAATCAACGATTCACGCTGCATACGGACATAAGGTAGGTATTTATGTGGTGTACCTTATACGTTGAGGTAACAGCTCTCAGTCAAGAGATATATGTCGCGATGATGACTCAAACAATTTACACCAAACTTCCCGAGCTCTGCCACCTGTAACTAATCCGAATAGCTTGTAACACACCATCGTGCACCAAAATATCCGTTTATTAGATCACCATATAATTGGATATGACTGTAAGGCCAAAAAAATGTCTCGATGAAGAACTCGTTCCAATAAATCAACAGCATCCGTCAACTGGTGCACATTTGGAAACTATGTAGATATACAGTTTGCAGCGTGTGATGGACTAATTAAGCATGAAAAAAAAAAAGCAGGGATAAAAGAGAATGCCATTTGGTGCATGTTTATACATCAATATCGGTAATCATACAGAGGGTGGAATGTATGCGCTCAATTGACAAGCAGAGAGAGGTATGACGTGTTTCTTGTTAGGTCGCATAATATGCATACCATATTAATACATGCGTGTGGATAATCGCCGAATCGCCTCTACGTTACTGCGAGGATCGATCAGCGAATCCGCCACAGAGGGAGAAGAAGCTCTTGACAGTATATTAACAATATACCTACTCGAGAGGCATTCTAGGGTTTCCGATACACCCGTGGGCTGGATTAATTAATCGGTCTGGATTTGATTCCACGTACTTGCGTTTTTTACGTCTTTATTGGTTTAGCCGTTGCAGAGCTATTATTTATTAGCAGGGGGGTCACAGAGGACGTGCTTTTGCAAGCAGTAAAATAGAGCGAGACACAACGATACTTGCTTTGGCGCTTTAATGAATAAATATTGTTGTTCACCGTTTCGCGAAACAACAGTGTAATAAAAATACATCATCAGAAAGAATATACAAGTATGTATATTGATTTTGCACTGGCAGTACAGAGTAATTATAACTTTATCTTCGGGCGGTCAGGAACACCCACCCCTGCAGCGAGAATAACTCTGGTGGCGTTTCAAAGGACGCGCCTGGCTGGAAAGCCCGCTCTTTTGTGCGCTTGAAACGTCAATACCGCGGCACGCGACATATTTTTCCTGTTTTCAATGATGCCCGTGCCCATGAATTTTGCATAGTTGCTTTCGATGTTACGGAGTAAGGGAAAAACTCGAGGATGAAGTTTTGTGCGCAATGGAGAATACTATTTTGAATGAACTAGCCTTACGAAACAATATTAGCGCTGGAGAATCGTGTGGTAGGATTTTAGGCGCGTCGATGTGTCCTTACGTCGGGCAGAATGAATATGCAGAGTGTGTTTTTTGAAGACGAACGTGATTTGCAAAAGTGTACATTTGTTTATTTACATGTAAAGGCGTTTGGCAGACGTAGTAGTACTTTTTTTTATCCACACAACTATACTTTGTTAAAAATAATCTGTTAACAATACGCTTTAACATGAATATCTTTCTTTCTCTCGCTGATTTTAGTGAAATAAATGAAACAAACTGATGGTGCTCTCTTGTCGCGCAAGAAATATATCACAATATGTTTATGATGTCCTGTTTATGTGCTTAATCTGTTACCAATACTTTCAAACAATTTTCTTGTCGGAAAGAGGCTCCTTAAAAAAAATTCAAAAATATCACTTTCCGTTCGAGCAACGACGAGATATATAGTTCACACACACGACGGTGGTTTACTTTTGATTCTTACGTCCTTAATGATGTGTAAAACGTTAACATATGTAAACTTAGCAAAATTACAAATGCTTGTATAAAACAATAAATATAGTAAAGTAAGCCTTAATACTAAATAACATTGTACGTCAAAACAATTGACTGCTGTTTACGCGTTATCTTCCTCTGCAGCGTCTTCAAAGACAAGCAAGTCCTTTGAAATTCCGGACTCTAAAGCTTCGTCAACAGATGTTTCGTATAAGTATGGAACAATGGACAAAAGGAAGTACTGACTTATGCTGTCTATCACCCACTCAAACGAAAGTAGAATAGCCGCCGTATTTTTCTTGAGCAGAGCTATTTCTGAAAAATGATTGCTGGTTACAGAAAAGCCCTACTTTATACACTACTTGACGTGGCAAAACGTATACTTACGAGATTTTTTTAAATCTTCAGATTCAAGTAGTACAACTCTATTTTTATCTTTTTGCAACGAGAGCTCGTTTGGAGAATCAGTGACAACCGCACCATTAAATTGTAATATTTTCTGTAATGATAATAACATCGTTATTTATTGTTTAAAAATTCGTGGTAAAAACTATTTTGAGTCAAACTCACCTTAAAGTCATCGACGGGCAAAGAGGTGAAAGGCTCCAGGCAGTAAAAAGCAAAGCCTTTAAATAGATTGGCAGGCTGATCTCGAGATCTTTTCGATCCGTTCTCAAGAGTATCTGGATCTAAAACCTCGTACATTTCGTCGTTTTCATCTAACAACGTATTCCGACTTAAACAGTCTATAATCCATTGGATGTTGATAACGTACTTTTTAAACGCGATGCCTTGAACGTATTTACTCGTCTTCTGACCACATTTAGTTACGGGATTTGTGTTAACCACTACATGCGTCACGTCAATTGAGAAATTAGATTTGAATTTAACTTTGAATCTCTTCAAGAACTCAGAGACATATTTATTATGATCAACTGACAAGCCACTGCAAGCTATGACTACGTTTTTGGCAAGAGTAGCCTCTTTTATTGTACTCAATCTATTCATTGGTGTGCTATGATTCAGAGGGTACGATCTTGTATTTCTCATCGGTGTAAAAGCAGGTATGACATTTGGATTGCTTTCAGGTGAAGAAAGAGATGATTCAATTTTTGGCTTTATCATTGGCACATTAAATAGGTTCCTGCAAAAATATCATATGAAGACGGAAAGTTTGATTATGATGAACATTATCATTGTAGTGTTTTTACCTTTTTCTCACAACAGGAGTGGCATCAATGTTTTCAGTGTCAAATTCGCTATCTAGTTGAGAAGGTTGTTTCTGTTATACCGCGCGTAGAATAAAATGTATAAACGTTAAGGTAAATTAAAAATGCGCAGTCAAGATAAATACAACAAAAGACTCTGTTACCTTTCCTGGTGGTGTAACAAATTTATCTTGAGTCTTAGGACTCCCAGGAATCGACGTATCGATTCCAATTTTATCCTTTTCCAACTTCATAACAATTTCTTCATCGTTCATTAAATTATTTCCAAAACTACCATTCACATAATCCTGAATTTTTTCGATCCTCGAGGGTTCATCATCATTGCTTTTATTCAAGTTTTCTGCTTCAATCGTATGTGCTTTCTGAAAATGCGGCTTATCAATTACAGTGACATCTGGCTCTTGGCTCACCACTAAGTTTTCCTTATCACTAGGACTCGAACGGTTCGAAGAACTAGCCCGACCACCTACAGACTTTTTCCGGACACTTGGGACGCTGGACTGTATTATGCTTTGATCGTTTGTATCGAACATATCCGCCGAGCCCAACGAGCTCGGTATGGCGCACAACTTGTTGGCAACCGCCTCCTGTTTCTGAGCTATGAACTTCTTCACAATATCATCAATGGGTGGGTCTCGTTGAAGTTGCTTCACAGATTCCTGCGTTATGATGTTCTCCTCGTCACCGGCGATAGGGTTTCGAAGGGATAGCTTGGCCAATCCTTGCCCATCGACATTCACTACATCGATGTCGAAATCCTCGGAATCATTTTCCTCGTTGATGACCGAGTGTATTTGAGCCACGGTAGTGGTGACCTTCGGCTTTTTAACGGACGGCGCTTCACCGTTCGTAGGACGCCATTTGAGAAGAATGGACATGTCGTCTTCTTCGTTCGACGATTCCGTGTGCGTACGTTTTTTTCTCGTGGCTGATCTTCTGATCGAAGAGCCGACCGAACTTGCAGACACCGATTTCCTTCTTTCCGATTCATTGTGGGAATCATTCGCGGCATCTTCCAAGATTTTATCAGTCACTTTGTTGACAGAATTGTTGACGGTGCGTTTGCTTGAGCTTTCACGAACAAACTCACTGTCGGAACTTCTTGTAGATCGAGTACTCTGCCGATGGCCACGTTCGCTTTCACGTGTATCATCTTTCTTCGGTTGCGGTTGTCTTTTTCTCAATGGATTCAATCGAATTCGTTTTTTCGAAGAAGTCGTTGATTCATCATCACTATCATCCATTGATTCGATGCGATTTTTCTTTTTTGAGCGTACTTTAGCACGTACATCGTCGTCTTCGTCATCGTCGTCAGATTTGTCATTCACTATTTTTATGATAGTTTTGTTATGAGTACCTGCAGAAGATCTAGACACGTAGCTTTTGTTGTCGTCTTCCGATTCTCGATGTTTTGAAATCTCGTAGCTCTTTGCTACCTCTTTGTCCATGTCCAACTGGCGCCTGGAAGACCGATTTTTTTTCGGAGTTTGTATAACCTCGGATGCTGTCTTGCCGATTTTATTTTGTTCAGAATCCAGTAACAAGTTCGATTTGACGATTTTATCAGCTTTTGCTTGAAGATTAGGAGAGTCAAGATTCAAGAATTTCAGCTGCGAATCCTTTTCCGGCGACAGCATTTTCACGTCTTGGTAGGGTGCGGTCGATTTTCGTTGGTCCCCGTTTTTCTTGTATCCGGTGCTACCCACGCTGACGACACTTTTGATGTATAGGCCAGGTGGGCACTGATTCGGGTCACAGGTTATTGCTTTTTCCTTAGGTTTTATTTTTCCAAGATACAAGAATGGTATTGGATTCCGTTTTTTACTAATTCTTCCCAATTTTTTAAAGACAACATGTCGCCTGGTTGACAAATTCGACGATCGACTAAAGTTGATGTTATTATTTTTCGGAGATGCAGCTGGTTTCTCGGGAGTTTTCACGCGCGACTCTATGGAAGATATAATCACCGGTGATTTTACAGGACTTTGTACAGGTGTTTTAACGGTCGTTTGAATTTTGCTCTTATTCACTGAGCTTTCACTGGTTCTACCAGACACTCGAAGAGACAGTTTACTTCTAGGTTTTTCTGGAGTAGCAGGAATCGGTGGTGAAATACTGAATTGCTTCACTGATGTTTTTGGAGGAGTTGATTTTGTATCGTCATTGGTTTTTAACCTTAAAGATATCTTGCGCTTTAATGGAGGATTTGAATCAATGGTAGATTTCGCATTTACTGGTTCAGCATCAAAATCTCCATTTTCTTGATCATCCTCATCTGCTCTTGCATTATGTAAACTTGATGAACTATCTGGATTCGTGGCGCGGGATACATTTTGGATTCTTAACGAAAGTTTTGAATCGGTTTTAGTTCTTCTTTTTGTAACGTTTTCAATTTTATTTCCGTTTGTGCAAGAGTCAGTAACATTTTCTTCTTGCAACATAGGTGTCGAATCCATCGACACCTGTTCAGAGTTTTGTTTGACGTTTAAGGAGCTGTCTTTACCTACGTAAACATCAGTTGATTTTATGTTTTTTTTTGTCTCTAATGTAGCTGGATCATGTGATGTACTTTTAGCATCAGAATCTTTCAAATTATTTTTGCCATCAACAGTGCCCAAGTAACTAGGCTCACTTTCATCCATAGTGGCAGGTGGTGAATTTTTTTCGACACTAACATGCAGAGATTTGAATGTTTTTACTTGCATCTCTTTACCAACTTTCTTAACTCTTCTCCAGTCGCCAGCATCAGAATGAAACATTGCAGGAATAGAACTTGGAGTTTTCAACAGATTTTCAGACCCGGTCTGAACCAACTTCTTTTTCTTAGCCATTATCTCAGCTTCCTGCAATCTCACCTGCGTCTCCTTAAAGTGTGACTCATCAGCATCATCTGCTTTTACCTCTGTACTCTGAGAGAAACTATTTTTAGCTTCAGATTGAGAAGAAACAGATTTATTTTTTCTCGCGCTAGGATAAGTCTTTGGAAATATTGCTTGCTGATCACCTTTTAATGACATGCAAGGAGAATTTTCAGCAGATGGCACTTTATTTTTTTTCGAGCTTGTGGTCACATCACTACAATCAGACTCTCTGGTTGGACTGACATTTACTTCAGGTGTCAAATTTTTCAACCAATTTGTGACCTTTTCATCGGACTGTACTTCATGAGGCTTGGTCACACTGTTTTCCAAATATCTTCGTATATTATTATTCTTAGAACTGGGTGTTTTCAGCAAGTTATTGCTTATTTGCTTTGGTTTGCGCAAACTGAGGCGGCTTGATTTATTTCTCGAAACATTACTTGACAGAACTTTCGACCTGATTGTTTGATTCGCCAATGATACGCCACTAAAAGAAGCAACTGAAGCTACTTCAAACCTTGAAGTATCCAAGTTTTCATTGACTTCAACACTTTCTTTCGTATGCTTGACTTTGTTGTCAATTGGTTGTGTCACTGAAATTAAAAATATTTTCTAGTTTGAAAGGCACTTTATATTTTAAACATTAAAATTACTCGAACATTCAATCTAATGATTTCCAGTTCCAGTTGACATTTAAAAAAAATAAAAAGAAAGCTATTCACCATCAATCCCAGAGTCATCCAGAATAGCTTCTACCAAAGCCTTATACTTATTGACGCAAGATTTTAAAATGCCGTTACCATCTCTGGGGATGGATCTCTTTTGAATCTTCAAATTACAAAAAGGGCAGGCTGCATTCTCGGAACTCGCAACTTGCAAAATACAACTTTTACAAAACTTATGACCACACTTTATTGTAACAGGCTCGTCAAACAGTTCTAGGCTGAAAAGTAAATGATTTACTGTTTGAAACAATGTTGGCCATCAAGTACACTTTTACTAGAATATGCATGGTTTGTCAGTTAGCTTTAAAAAAAAACAGTATTTATTTGCTGCTGTATCACGACTGTCACACGTATGTTGTGGATAATAATAAAAAATTATAAAAACAATGGCACAAGTATCTACACCAAGGGCAGCTCTTGTGGAAACGATAAACCGCAGGTAAGGCTGCAGTAGACGGGTTGAATACTTAAGTAGTGCTCTCGCATCTGTCGAACGATCATCAACACAGATGACACATTCGTGATCAAGTCCACAGTACGTGCGCATCAACACGTGTTACTTGTATTTTGCACAGTGAGAGTGTTGTTAGTTGACTTTTGAACTCTTTGAAAAGCCATTGCTGGCGAAGTTATAAGCCTAATGAACACTGCGTCCGTCTTTTTTACACATGCATGTTTTGTTTTGTTTTTTTTTTTTTTTTTAGACAAACTACCAATGGGCCATTAAGCAAAAACTCACCACACCCTGCACACCAGGCTTTCTCGAATGGACTGACATGCCTTGACAATTTCCTCAACTCGCGAATACGAGGCCGCAAAATCGTTCATCTTTCAACTGGTGCCTACTTGCATAGTCTTGCGTCACACGTTTAACGTGCACTCTCGTGAATCTTACCCGGGAAAAGGTATTGTTTTTTGTGATAATACTTAGTTGCGGGTAGACACGTCAACTACGGGACTCGAGGCACGCGTGAGTGTTGTTTTTCTCTCAAACTCGTGGTGCTTCAGAGGGTCATAAAAAATATTTTTACTGCTTTCCGCAGCGAGAGAAACAGACGGCTTTGTTGTTTTCAATGCTTGTGGAGTGGGGATTGTGGGGAAGCATATATACATATATATATATTTTTTTTTTTTCAAAAAAAGAGTAAGGTACAGATGGGTTTGACCAATCGGTGGGCTGCTTTAGCCACTTGTGGGCCCCGGTCTCTCGGGCCCAATTGGCACGCGGTAAAAGGTTGCCGCCAAAATTTTCGTCTTCCAGTGCGACTGCGCGACAAGTTTGAATTTGGATTGAAATTGGCGCGATCATTTGAAATTCTGATTCGGGGTTTTGGCACAAAGCCATTGGTTACCTGAAATTGGACTTTTGTTTTTATTATTGTTTGTGAAATAAATTATAGCATACAACGTTGAACAACGCTTTGGTAATTTTTATTTCAGTCATTCAATAATTATTTTCGAAATAATCAAAGTCCAGAGTGCATGTCGGCTTACGTTTTACGTAAAATAAAAAATAAATTTTGAAAACTAAGAACTAAGGTTATCTCGTGTCAATTTCAGAAAAACATTTAGCTGTTGAATTAATTTTAGAATCATGGTAATTTTTCGTTTGTGACTTATCCTCTGAAAAAATTTTCTAGTTATTTTTGGTTACGCTGGTAGTTTTTTAAGTAAAAAAAACTGTAAATAACGAAAAATAACACTTTTTTTGTACATTTGTAAATTTTTTATTTGCAATTAGTAGGGTTAAAAATTCAGGGAAAAATCTTTATGAACATTGTCCAATTGTAGTTAGACAAGTAAGGAATCCAGGAAAAATTTGTATCACCCTGGACTTAGGTCAATAGAACTATTTACATCAATAAGTTGGATAGAAATACGGGAATAAATTAAAGGTCTGGATATTTGTCTGTTTTGTATTTGATAGTATTTATTTCAAAAAAATTATAAATCTACAGTATAAAATATGCATAAATTATTCATCTGTACTAATTCCTAATGAACGAATATGTGAAGTATGTTTTTTAAATTAATTGCCAGTGATAAAATATTTTGCTTTGTTATTGTTATTCAATTACATAACATATAAGACTGAAAACTTAGCAAATTATTTTTCTCCCAACTACTTTGGAAAAAAACACATTATTTTAAGTCTTATGTAATCTAATCATCGATATAATTTTGTAATACACTTAATTTCTTTCGATTTTCTTACCGATTTTTTAATTGATTCTCGTATGTGCTGTACGTAAGCACTTCCGTAATACCTAGTAACTGTATTTATTTACTAACTACTATTTTTTAGGTTTAAACAAGGTACGTTAGTACATTAGCACACTCGACATAATATACGTGCCATTCCCACTTTACATATTCTTAATAATGTCTTGAACACCGTAACAAGATATTTAATTTTATATCAGCGACAGTATTTTAAAATATAATTTGCCAATTTAATTTTTAACGCAAGTATTTACATTTTTTTTTTTCGTTGTAAGTATGTATAAAAATTTTTTAATTTTGATATGTTTAATACGTATACCATTTTGATTCAAGACAGTAATTTTTGAGATTAAGCTAGAAATCTTTTACGTAGGCGATATTTCGAATAACTAACGTATAAATAAATTAAAACTTACTTTTATTATTCTGCGAATTCTATGAATGTTGGTATATAATCTTTTCAAAATTCGTCAGGATTAAAATAATGTTTAACACCAAATCGTAACTTAAAAAAAACTGGCCCAATAGTTTCCACGTTTTCAATCATAAAACTGGGTTAGAACGTTAAAAAATCTACCAGTTTTGTCAAGCATGTGTTTCACCTGATGGACCCAATTGATTTTCACGTTAAAACCCAATAGGTTCAACTATCGATCTAATTTAAAAGAACATTTTACATTATATTTTTTACACTTTCTCAGCATGTCTTAATAAATGGTTAAGTCAACCGCAATTCGCGCAAATATTTAATTTTGTCGAAACAATTAAAAGAGTTTCAACTAAACAGTCACTCAAAACTCAATACAGAAAAGCTCAACTTGGTCCAAATGATATTACCTAACCTAGTCAAATAAGGCCCTTTCTACCATCGCAGGTAAAATTTTACGCGAGGCAACACGTGCTCTGGAATAAAAACGTATGAAACTTATTTATACGTTGGCAACCGCTTTGCTTGCCTAATTTTACCCGCAATCGTCGACAGGGCCTTAAAATTAACCCTAGACGTGATATAATTATACTTTTATACCACACATTTCCATCAAGAAGTATAAATAATCAAATTACGTATCGAACGTCACGTGACGCCAGAAGCAAGTAGTATTATTTAAAATTTGACTCAACGAAAACTAAGCTGACCAAACATATATATGTCACACCTAGTCGAGGCAATGCATATACTTACACAGTCCATCATTCGCAATCAATCAATCAACAACAACAATAACAACGCAATCATCAATCACGTCACTCATGACCAATAGAGCCGGTTCAATTCTTCTTCGCGATCTCCTGGAAGAAAGCCTCGATGGGCAAGGTCGGCTCGTCCGTCGCGATCTTGAGGTGCGCCGAGATCAGCCTGGGCTTCTCGGCCGCCATGACCGGGGAGACGGCCTTGAACATGCCGGGCTTGTCGTAGAGGGCCGAGGCCGAGCTAGTCAGGTCGGCGACGCTCTGCGACGCCTTGGCGAACAGCTCCTCTTCCTGCCTGATGTCGAAAAGCGCCGTCGATTCGCTCACAGGCGAGGCGCTCGTTACCTGCATCACCTGGACAACGTCGTCGTCGTCGTTGTTCCCGTCCTCCTCGCGAGGCTTGTCGGCCACCAGCGGGGCCTCATCAGCGGAAGTGGCCTGCTGCTGGCCCCGCTCCTCGCTCTCGTCCATCGTCACGTCGCTCAGGTCGATGGGGGCGCTCTCGCTGCTCGGGCTCTCGAGGCTTTTCCTGGAGGACTCTTCGGTCGTCGGTTGGTGGAAGAAGTGGTCTTTGGGCTCGCCGGTGAGCTCGTTGGCGGCCTCGGAGGCTGGCGCCACTGCAGCTGAGACGGGCGTCGGCGTGGAGGTAGCAAACGAGCCGGTCTCCGCGGCGGACTGCATCTCTGTCCCAACTCCGTTTAGCTTCCCGAATGGCTTGAGCTTACTCTTGAGCGTCGGCCGCTTCCGGATTGACGAGGAAAATACGTTCTCGGGCCGGGCGGTGCTATGGGTCCCGTAGCTCTCCGGCTCGTGTTGTTTCAGGGAGGTGGATAGGGTCGAGCCGGCCGGTGCCCGGCTCCTGTAGTAGTGACCGGTGCTCTGAGGTCTCTTCTTGGGCGTGAATCTACTCGGGCGGTCGGTCGCTCCGTTGTCATCGACCTGTTGGCTCGTTGGCGCTGCCGTCGTCGTCGAGCTCGTGCGGTACGAAGTGCGCGACGTATGCTTGAATCTGGTGACCGGCTCTTTGAGGTTAAGATCCGCCGGCTGGTGGTTCTTGTAGCCGCGTTTGGGACCTACGGTCACGGTCGACGCTTCCGTGGAGGATGAGGAGGCTAGCCGAGTTTTGTACTCCATGCGGCTCTTGTAGTCCTTGATGCTGAAACGTGGCCGAGTTGCGTTCCCGTAGCGCACCGGCCGCATCCGGTGCGTTGTCTTCGGGGACGAGAGTACCGCCTTGGGCGATGTCGGGGCTTCGGTCGTAGTGGTCGTGGTCGTGGTCGTTGGCGTCGTTGTGCTCGTTGTGGTCATTGGTGACGTCTGCTCCGCTGTGCTTTCCACCTGATTTACCTGAAATTATTGTAATGTACAGTGTTATGTATTCCAAGTTATTGGTTATCCATATCAATCGAGACTCACCTCGGTTTTGGCAAATGCGTGCTCCTGCGAGGCGCTCTCCTCGACCTTTTGCGTGAACTGTTCCTCCCGGTCGTCGCGTGTGGGTTCGATGAACTCGGAGCTCGGTGCCACTGTCGTCTCCGAGTAGTACTCCACGGGTATTCTTTCGGTCGATACTTCCTGCGGGGTGTCCATCGTGAAAGTCTTCTCCGATGACGATAGGTGCTCCGAAGAGTACAGCTCCTTCAAGAATGGTGCTGGGTAGTTCTCTGTGGGTGATATGTCCTTCAGTGACTCGTCCGACTTGATCCTCTCGGGTAGGGACTCGAGATTTTCCTTGTAGGACTTCACCCTGTATCCAGGTCGTTTCCTGATTGAACGACAATTCACAATGTATTAGATACAACAAAAAAAGTAATGATAATAGTAACAATGGAAATGTCCCTACCTCAAAAACGGCCGTCTCTCGTAGTAGCCGCCATCCTGATAGGGCCGTACGCGCTTCTTTTTCTCAAAGTCTTGAATCTCGGAAGAATCGTACTTATTCAGCTCCTCCTCGTACTCCTGAGAAGAACCGCTCGACTCGGTTGTCGAGGTTGTGGCCCATGGTCTACGTCTTCTGAGCGGAATCCCGGGCCTCCGGACACGAATGATGACCCTTCCGGTCACCGGTGCCATAGTCGTCTCTGGCAGAGCGGTCGTCTGAATCGGTATGTCGGTCAATTCTTCGGGAGTTTCTGAGTTGACGTAGGACGTTGGCGGTTCGGTCGGCACCGTATCGTAGACGATGGTCGTTGGCTTGCGTCTCCGAAGCTGTTCGCGGTTCAGAGGCTTCTGCGGACGGTACGGGCGGATGACCGGCTGGAACTCCTCCTGAGTGGTCGCTTGGACGTTGTTGGCTTGTGTGGGCGTGACAACCTCCTCAAACTTCTGGACAGTCACCTGTTTGTACGCATTGTCATCCTCCTTGTTCGACTCGAAGGTGGGCTCCGAGGATACTTGAGGAGGATCCTCGTGCAGCTGGTGCGACGGCGTTGGCAACAGTTGCACGTGGGGTTGCTGGGGCGCTCGTTGGGGTGGTGGCTGCACGTGGACGTACTTGTACTGCTCCTTGGGTATCTTCTTTTCCTCGTCAACGATGAACGGCTG